TGGACTGCAGGCTGGCCATTTCAGTACCCGGATCCTTCTCCTACGTAGCCATGATGTTGTGATTGCTGCAGAATGTGGTCTGGCATTATCGTGTTGAAAAATGCAGGGTCTTCCCTGAAAGAGATGACGTCTAGATGGGAGCATATCTTTTTCTAGAACCTGAACATAGTTCTCTGCATTAATGGTGTCTTTCCAGACATGCAAGCTGCCCATGCCACAAGCGCTCATGCAACCCCATACCATCAGTGATGCAGGCTTCTGAACGGAGCGTTGATAACAACTTGGGCTATCCTTGTCCTCTCTGGTCCGGATGACATGGCGTCCCAGTGTTCCATAAAGAACTTCAAATCGTGACTCATCTGACCACAGAACAGTCTTCCATTTTGCCACACTCCATTTTAAATGACCCCTGGCCCAGTGCAAACGTCTGAGCTTGTGGAGCTTGCTTAGAAATGGCTTCCTCTTTGCACTGTAGAGTTTCAGCTGGCAACGGCGGATGGCACGGTGGTTTGTGTTCACTGACAATGCTTTCTGGAAGTATTGCTGAGCCCATTCTGTTATTTCCTTGACAGTGGCATTCCTGTTTGAGGTGCAGTGACGTTTAAGGGCCCGGAGATCACGAGCATCCAGTAGAGTTTTACGGCCTTGACCCTTACGCACAGCGATTGTTCCATCTTGGCTTCTGAGAGACACTGACACTCTGAGAAGCTCTTTTTATACCCAATCATGTTGTCAATTGACCTAATTAGTGTTAATTGGTCTTCCAGCTGTTCGTTATATGCTCAATTTCTTTTTTCCAGCCACTTATTGCTACTTGTCCCAACTTTTTTTGGATTTGTTGACACTGTGAAATTTTGAATCAACATATTTTTTCCTTAAAAATGTTATATTTACTCAGATTAAACTTTTGATCTGTCATCTATGTTATATTACGAATAAAATATTGACATTTGCCATCTCCACATCATTGCATTCAGTTTTTATTCACAATTTGTTTAGTGTCCCAACTTTTTTGGAATCCGGTTTGTATGAAATATAATCTTTAAACATCATCACTGGAATCTTAACCATGTGCTTTAATCCTGTGTTAGTTTGGCTGCTCCAAAACATGCAACAATAATTTAAAATAAAATTTGGCCAATAGCTCAGGTAAAAATGTTGACCTATAGAACATTTCTACATTTTTCACTGCTTCAGTAAAGAAATCACATCAGACACAATCCTCTGAATAAAGTAATCTGACCCAGACCACACCATGAAGTCACAGTACTCCTGCTCCATCACAAACAACTGAGCTTGTACCTGGTGTACCTGTGTGACCTCTGCTTAGTTCATAGGACCCGTTTATGTTGTCAATGCAGAAATCTTTCTTAACTGAGGCACCGAGGACTCCAGCATCTTTGGTACAATGTGGGCATTTTATTTTCAAAACACCATTGCCACAGCAGGTGCAGGAGAGCAGAGCGTCCGGAGAAGCTCCGAGGTATGGTCCACTGCAGTTAATGTGTAGGCTGGAGGCACAAACTCTCAGATCCTAATGCTGTGGTCCAATCATGTTTACATGATTAAGTTTCAGGGAAGGTCCATTATCACACCCAGATTAGTGATCTTGTAAAAAGATATGAAGCTCTCAACCTTGACCTCTCTAAGTGGCTTTAAGAATCTGTTGGACTCTTGACAAGGACCAATGCAAACATGTTCCTGTTTTTAGTTTTCTACATTCGTCTTATAATCTAGCTGTTTTTGTTACTTTTTTGCCATCTTATTTTAATTTGTAAAAAAAAAAAAAAAATCTATATGCCTTTTTATAATTGTCTATTGTTGTCGTTGTTGTCCATTGTTGTCATCATTTTTTGTTGAATTCAGGTCTCCCTTGTAAATGATTCCTCAAGGCTCAATGGGATTTAACTGCCTAAAGGTTGAAAAAAGTGATGTGATGTGAGGCTCGAGTCAGTTCATAGTCTGATAGTCAGATTCCATGTTATTTAATGAGTAATAAAATGATTAACTCATCTTTACAAAGAGATTAACAGACCACCCTCAGTGAAACATAGATTACATTTTGGTAAAAAAAAATAAAATAAAAAAATAAAACGGCATTTTACAACACTGCTGTCCTTCAGATTCATGAAGACAACTTGTCGTCCCCTTTTGATCAGTGCTTGGACTTCTTTTTTTTTGGTAAAAGTTACTTTATACGTCTTTCATCTCCACTCCTTCAGGTGATCCTGGACAGCAGGACAAGCCAAGCTGAGCTGGAACTCTTCCCTCGCTATCTTCTCTTCCTCCGCCAGCAGCCACCCACACGCTCCCCTCAGTCCAACATTTGGGTCAATATGGGTATGACCAGTCTACGAATGTTTCCACCATATTTACCCCCACTAAGAGGTAACGTAAGCCTGCAGCAAGAGCATTTACTTTTGATTGATGCTTCAATCCCCACTTTTTAATTTTCCCTCTGTGGACTGATCCAACCCAGGCGTGCTGGGGTCTAAATCAGTGGGTCCATGAAAAGGTCTCAGGTTCTCTGGTTTCGCTTGTAAATGAGTCCCCGAGGCGCAGTGGGATTAACCTGTATAAATAAAGGTTGAATGAAAAGGAAAGATGAATTGGCTGTAAAGTTTAAATAATCTAAAGCTTTGGTTAAGTTACAGCTGCAAAACTTGTTGGTGATGGTATCACACTTTGGAGATCATTATAATCGGTATACTGACTGAAACACTGAACTCAGTTTCAACCAAAGTTCGTTTTTATTATCAACCTCATGTCCCTATGTATTTGGAGAGGTAATTTCAGCATTTTTTTTAGCTAATTTCTTAATTTTTGTGATTTCAGCTTCTTTAAACCTATTTCAGCAAATATGTTTTCTTTCTGCTTTCTTCTGCTAACGTAGGCTTGTTCTTCCATTTTACATTCATTTCAGCATGTTTTTAACTAATTTCAGCTGTTTTTAGCAATATCTTCAGCAATAAACATTCAGACTGCATTTTCACAGGAAATACAATTTTTCTAGTTTCTCTTGTTGTTGAGACTTGTAGCCAACAGTAGCCTATACTACCATGTTGTATTTTTGGAACCAGAGTCCACACAATACAGTCATGGGACTTAAATTCCTGCTTAGGCAAAGGTGGTGGATTATTAACTATTTTCAAAAAATGATGGAACTGCAAACGGGTACAAATACCAACTAATTGTTTGAGCTTCGAACTGCTGTGTTTTGAGATGGGCCGTTCAAATCCTGTTTTTTCTGCTGTGTTATACAGGTCACCCAAATATAATAAGGACTTCATGGCTGAACTCTGACTTTTTAACTTCGATCTTACTCGATATGATCGGGTTTTGATTCTGGGAGATTTTAATATACATGTCTTTTGCCCTGAAAAGCTGCTGACTCAGGACTTTCTAGATCTGATCCAGTCTCTGAACTTTGTACAGAATGTTGCAGGACCAACTCACCAGCACGGCCACACACTGGATTTAGTGTTAACCTTTGGTTTATCTGTTTCTGAGTAAGAAATTGGGGATGCAGTTTTCTCCGACCACAAACCCATTTCTTTTAACACTTCTTTTTTCAACGAGTCCAAACCCCCTACCCCTCCAGCCAGGCCTTGTCGAATATTTAACCCTTCCACTGCTGCGCTCTTTTCCTCTGCTTTTACTAAAAACTCTCTCTCAGTCTGTGAATTCTCTTCCATCAACACCCATGAGCTAGTCACTGTACATCAAGAGACCTGTGCTAAGGTGCTTGACCTAGTTGCCCCATTAAAAATTACGCATCCAAAGCGCACTCCACACCCTTGGATGAATGAGATCACTCACGCAGCCAAACGTCAATGCAGGAAAGCCGAACGTAAATGGAAGAAGGACAAACTTCACGTTTCTTTTATCAAGCTAAAATCATGTTACAAAGAGTACCAGGCCACTGTTAAATCAGAAAAAAAAACACATATTTCTCCCAAATCATCGCCTCAAACAGCCACAATCCCTGCGTTCTTTTCAACACCGTTAACTCCATTTTAACCGTGCCTCAGTCTGCCAACTGGGAGGCCTCTGCAGTTACATGTGACGACTTTACCAGTTTCTTTGTTAAAAATGTTGAGTCGATCAGGTTACTGATTCCTCACACCACAGCTGACCCCTCTGTCTTTGTCCCCTCCACATCAGTCTAACCAGTTTGAACCCATTTCCCTCATTTCTAAATTACGTCATTGGTCATATGAAACCCTCAGGTTCTCCTGCTGACCCCATCCCTACATCATTTTTTTAAGCAAGTCCTACCCTCCATTGGACCCTCTGTTCTTGACATTATAAACAGCAGTATGGCTACAGGTGTAGTTCCTGATCAGAGTGTCCGCGGGGTCTTGAAAGTTATTAAAAGTTGATAAATCAAATTTGGGAAAATTAAGGGTCTTGAAAAGTATTAAAAAGTCTTGAAAGCGATTTGATGAGGTATTATTTTTTTTGCTGTTATTCTAGCTTTAAATAATTTGACAGCAAAAAGTATGTATGACTAATATTTGTTTTCCTCACCGCGGAGGATTCGGAAACTGCTTCGCACAAATTTAGAGTGTCAGGTTACAACAGCCTTAACGGCTAGGCCTATCTTGTGCGCATGCGCGGCTGCTTTGAGTCTGTGTGTTCGAGTAAGTTGCCGCGAGACCATGAGAACAATGGGTAAATGCAAGTTTTCGGACTCCTGGTTGGAGATGCCTGATTTTCAAGAATGGCTGAGGCCTGTCGCCGAGAATAACTGCGAGGCTTATTGTACATTTTGTAAAAAAAAGATGAGCGTAGCCTCGATGGGCATAAACGCCTTGAAGTCCCATATGACTGGAGCTAGCCACAAAAGTGCAGCTAGCCGCAAAACGCAGATGTCTATCAGCAGTTTCTGTGCTCCACCAGCGACAGCGCTTCCAGCTAACCGTGTGCCTGAACCAACCAAAGCTCCCTTGACACTGTCTTCTGCCTCTCCGTCTGCCGACATCATGGTGACCATGGGCAGCACACCAACACTGCGTGCAGAGGTGATCTGGTGTCTCCACACTGCGGTGAATCACCATTCTCTAAATTCCAACGAAGGCATATCGGACATTTTTAAATCAATGTTTCCAGATTCGGATATAGCCAGAACATTCACTTGTGGCAAGGACAAAACGGGTTACATCTTGCGATTCGGGCTTGCACATTTTTTTAAGCAGGAGCTCGTTGACAGTATTAACAAAGCTGGCCCATTTGTGTTGATGTTTGACGAGTCTCTGAACCAGTCAACTAAAAAGAAACAGCTCGATGTGCACATTCGTTTTTGGAATGAAGACTGCGTTCAATCCAGGTATCTGGGCTCTCAATTCCTGGGACATGGAACAGCGGAGGACTTGTTGCATCACATCAAAGTAAGTGAATCTTTTTGTTTACTACTATTTAATCTTTTCTTTGTGTATGTTGATATTAAATAAAGCATATTACAGTACATTTTTATATATGAAAAGTACTCAAATAGAATATTCCTTTAAATCAATGAAGAATTGTGTGTGTGTGTGTGTGTGTGTGTGTGTGATATTTACATACATAACTTGATTTGAACACCTGTGTGTCTAAAAATTAAATATCAAATCCATACTGTTGTCACAGAAATGTGTTGCCAAACTCTCCCATGGACAGACCACAGTGGAGCGTGGATTCTCAGTTAACAAGCAGGTCGAAACCTGCAACATACACGAAGAGACGATGGAGGCTCTGAGGTTGATCTGCGACAAGGTCAGTGTCTGTGGGGGTGTTCTGCAGGTACCTCTGACCAAGGAGCTGCTGGCTTCTGTTGCCTCTGCAAGGTCAAAGTACAGGATTTACCTGGAACAGCAACGAAAGAAGAAAGAAACTTCCACACAGAGCCTTAAGAGGAAAGCAGCTGGAGCTGAGTTAGAAGAGCTGAAAAAAAAGAGAAAACTTCTACAAGAGGTGTGTGATTCTCTGCAAAAAGATGCAGATCAGTTGGCAGAGCAGGCAGAGGGAAAGTCAGGTTCTTTAATGGCCCAACTGATCACCAAGTCCAATGTCTTGAGAAGGAGACGTAAAGAAAAACTCAGTGAGCTGGTGCAAACTGAAGAGTTGCTGGAATGCAAAGCAACTGCACTGAGGCACATGTAATGATTACTGTGTTTATTTCTTATTCGCCATTGTTCAACCAAGTTACTTTAAAATAACTACGAGTCTTGTTGTAACCTAAGCTATATTTTCTTTAACCTAGTCGTGCTTCAGTTTGTTCTTTTAAATTTTTTTCTATCCACTGTATCTCAGTTCTGTTGTAGGTTTGAGATTCACGGATTTAATTGAAAACAACAGCAGTTTTGTAAATCAAAGATTTGTTGCTTAATAAAACAAAGTGACGATAAGGTCTTGAATTTATTATGGAAGGTCTTGAAAAAGTCTTGAAAAGGTATTGAAATTAACTTCATTATTCCTGCATATACCCTGCTGATGCTTTTAATCATGCGGTGGTAACTCCTTTAATAAAAAAAACCCGGACTTGACCCTTCAACCTGCTCAAATTTCTGACCCATCTCCAAACTTCCCTTTCTTTCTAAGATCCTGGAGAAAATAGTTTTCACTCAATTAAACGAGTTCTTGAGTGGAAATTCTATTCTTCAGATCTTTCAGTCTGGCTTTAAGGGTGCATTCACACCAGCCCTGTTTAGTCCGCTTTAATCAAACTCAAGCTCGTTTTCCTAGAAAGTCTGGTTCGTTTAGGGAGGTGTGAACGCGCCATCGAACTCTGTCACGGAACAAAAAGGCAAACTCTGGCCCGGGCTAAAACCTAGGTCTCGTTTCGGTAGAAGCGAACTCCAGCACGGTTCGAGTGCAGTGTGAATGTAAACAGACCGAGCCCCGCTCCGCAGGGTAAACAAACACGCATTTCTCTTTCCTTGTATGGAGCTGTCAGCTGCCTTGTGTGAAAAACAATATTCTCCATGGTCTTCTGTCTCATCTTCTGCTCATGCGAAGTCCATTTTTGAAAAATGACAAAATATAACTCCTAAAACTGCTAAAACTTGATGCCACTTCGTTTTTATTTTTATTTACAGAAGAAGAAGACGTGTCTTCAGAGGTTTTTGTGTTGTTTCTTTCAGTAGTTCTTGGTGCAGCGCCCCCACAGGCGAGCGGGGGAATAGGTTGGTTCAACAGGTTGACTCGACTGCACAGTGCAGTGTGAATGCAAATGCACCAGCTCAAATGTAAACTAAAGGTCATGAATATTGGTCCCGAACCGATCCGAGTCTACCGGACCATCTAGTGTGAAAACGACCTAAGAAACTACACAGCACCGAAACAGCCTTAGTTAAGGTCTGCAACGACATTATTCTGGCAAATGACTCTAGTCAGTCTGTAGTCCTGGT